CTCAAACTCACTGAGTGTGCCAATGGAACCACGTTCCTGCTGATCAATAATAGAGTCCTTCCTCAATCACTGATAGTCTACTTTGGTACAGAATGTATCGTGCACATTTTTCTTCATATTTTCCAATGCATGGTAATTTCGGTTTTATTTTATAGCTGACAGACAGCCACAAATTGTTTTACCCAACCCATGAGCTAGTCAAAAACTTGATTACCCAACCCATATCTCTTCGGTACCAACCCCGGGTGTAAATAATGAACGGTCCCTTAGAGCGCTGCATCGGAATCGCAGTGCGCGCAGGTTGGATTTCTGCCAGAGACCTAAATTTGCATTTTTCGCAGCTGTTCCTGGTTATGTCTAATATAAATGTATAGAAAATTTATCCAATGGTTCGATTCGTCAGGTAGGACTAGAAGTATGTTTAAAAACGATTCGTCCATTAGTTTGGTCAGATATATTATATAGTAAAATGAACTTTCGGCCTTTTGGTGGTTATTTTATCGCGTATATATTGGTGATTTCGTATGAAATAATCATTTAACACATCGCAACTCCACTTAATCGCAACATTTACGACATGCAAGATATAAAATTTGCAATGAAGAAACGACAATATAATGCACATGCTTTATACTGATCAGAATTTACCGAAGCATGGATACGGCGAAATTCTCTATTTTCTTTTTCTCTCCTCCAAAAGAAACAAATTATATTTGAACATACCTCTTTGACCTCCTCCGGGATGGATGTTTTTCCACGGTACCCATAACTCCTAACACTTTATTTATACACATAAAACAGCGATCAATTTTACATTTAACTTAAGATTTTCCCAGGTATTTGGACTTCAAGACTCAAGCATCATAAAATTTCCTGTCGTTTTCTAAACACAAATTGTTATTCGCAACCGTTTTAATTAACGGCTACAAACCGAAATAATTAAAAACCGATCAGACACAAAAATTGACTGTTAACGTTAGTTTACAAAGTATATTTCATTTTACACTGTAAAATGTCATCCCTGACCAATGGGATCGCGTTTCTAGAAGTGCAACCTGTACCAAAACACCTGGCCAAAATTATACGTACAAAATTTACATTTAAGGCTGGAAACTTCAATTTTAGCATGTAAATTTTATGCAAAGAAATATCAACAACTGTTTCATACATAAAAAAGCTTGATGACTTTGATATGTTTTGGCTGAGAAACCACAAATTCATTTTGTTTTCTTTTGAAAATAATTTGCCAATAACATTGTCATAGAACTAGTTTTGGATTCAAATACAGTTTTTCATGTGCTCCTAAAATTTCCCCACAAAAATTACGAGTTAAAACCAGGTGGCCCATGTAAATCTATTCGACAAGGGGGAGGGGAGAGCGGCGTTAACCCCCCCCCCCCTCGCTACGTCCCAGTAAATAATATATTAGCTTACTATTTGAGATTACGTTTGAAACTTGTTTTGCAATATAAACATCTAGCCAAGGGCTTGTCAACATTTTGTCATGATGACAAGTGAATAGACCAGTGGCCTCTCACTCCTTTTATTCTAAAATCTTATTTTAAATATTCTGGCTTTAAAATTGGCTCATTGAATCCAAACTTTTCGCCATTTTTACGTGTTTGGCGCCAAGGACACCCACCGCGCGCGCGTTCGTATCGGCCGTTTGACCCGCACAGAAGCACCGTAGCTTATACAAAAGAATATACAACCATAACAACAAAATGTACATATATAAAAACTTCATAATATACTTAAACTTCAGAGGTTTGCCCTTTGTTGGTTTAGTTGCAACTTGTTAAAACACAAGGTCAGTGAGCTCTCTTTATATATAACTGGAGTACTACCTTTAATCAATTGCCCAAACGAAAAGTCAAAGATGGCTGATATTGATTTGGACGCCAGTTTCGCTCCACTCATTCACTCTAAAACCTTCTGGTTTATCTAGAAATAACCCTATATGGGTTAACGTTAACCTGATATTCCTGGTTCAATAGGCAATTCCATCTTTTAATTTATGCGCGCAGGGGAGGATGGGAAGTAAGGTATCATATTGCTGATTATGCTGAAAAAATAAAAATGGCGGCCGTGTAAACACGCAGTGATATAGCTTATACTTGTAAATATTGAAATATTTCGGTTGTTTCGGCAATTTGTATTGAAATTTTTCAGCATAATCAGCAATATGATACCTTACTTCCCATCATTCCCTGCAGTGCATAAATTAATAGCTGAAATTGCCTATTTGCTGGCTATTTTAACCTTTTTCTTACTGTAGTAAGGTTAATTTGACCAGAACTTGGGCTCAGGTTATACAGTATATCCACCTAGGTACTAACATAGGTTGGTTTTTTTTTAACAAGGACGCCCTGGTCAAATATAACCAGATTCCAGGTTACATTACCCGACTATGGTAAGAAGCAGAGTCTGAAATAACGGTCAGACATTTTCCGACCAAATCGCAATTTTTCCGACCAGATTTTGTCCGGACAAAGAATATTGCAGTCAACTTTCTTGAAAGACTGGGTTAACCATAAGCTGCATGCAATCCTCCCACAAAGAATAAATGCAAAAGATTTAACTACACTTGCTAGTGCTTGACATGGAATCGAAAAAATGTCCGACCAAGTTTGATAGTGTCCCATCAAATTTCATTTTGGTTGGACATTTTGCGGACAAATTTTGAATGTTATTTCAGGCTCTGGGAAGTGAGATAAAATAACCAGAATGACGTCCAATACCTACAATTTTACACTTACATTAAATACCTAAGATATTACTCTAGTTACATATATAGAGCTCACTGTCATAAGTATACATACGATAAGAGCTAGGAGCTCAGCTCTGGGGTTGGTCAGCCTCGGATTAGTGTTTGCTATGTCGCTGAAACGCTGGGAAATTGTGCTAAGTTAGGAATGTCAAAGAGATCACAAACACCCTCTGAGCTTGTGAGGTTGAACGTGTAGTCGGAGTCACCAGCTGGCGGTGAGAGCTGTAATAGTGGAGCATAGTCTGTGGAAGAAAACAGAGAAAAGTATAAGAGAACCAGGGCCGCCGAAAGAATTCGCGGGGCCTGGGGCAAATCGTCTCTGGAAGCCCTATGACATCATTATTTTTAAGCTAGACCCAAATCAGTCACCCAACTATACAGTAGACCTTAGCTAGACTGCATGTAGAGCTACTGCAAGGGGCCCTCAATTTCAAAAATGCTTCGACCAATTTAAAGAATCTACTCAATTTTAGGATCTCGTTCTCAAGTTGGGCCCTATTAAGGTGGGGGCCCGGGGTAATTCCCTCCCCCCTCTCGGTGGCCCTAAAGAGAACTACTAAGTGGTGATGGTAGGAGTTTGGACGAACTTCGAGGAAGAATTTCATCCCGCGGTAGCATCAGGTAATTTCTCATGCAATTTTCATCCAGTCAATTTGTCCTTGGGAAATGTCCATTAGTGCAACAAATGTTCGTATAGAAACGTTTGATATTTTTTGAGTTACCGTGCTGACAGACAGACACAAACAAGCCTGAAAATAAATTTCCAACTGTGCCTGACAAAGTGTCAGGTACCAACTGATTGGTGCCTGACACTGGACATTTTGTGCCTGACAAAAAATGTTAACGCAATAGAGCAAATATAGTTTTTCGTGGTCCTTGAAATAAAAGAAGCCAACGAAAATCTTATAGTAACAACAATTAAGCCGCCAGTCAATTATATCAACGCAATCGAAAAATCATAAATTTCACAGCATTTTCACAGGCATATACATTCACATAATTTTTAAATGTGAAAAATGTTGAAATATTATAAATAAAAAAAATTTTTAATGACAAACTGTCCAGCACAAAAACAGTCATGCCGGACCATTACCTTTTCGTACCGGACAATGTCCGTGACAGGCTGCTTATTTTCAGGCTTGGACACACAGAAAAAGGATGAAAAGATAACCTCCTGGCGCAGATAACCAAATACAACAAAGATAACAAATATATAACAACAGCGTATAACAAAGGTAACCAAATAATTATATAAATTATGTATAAGTGAGTGGCCTGGATGGCAACGGTCATAAGTTAGCTGGTTTTTTCCCTTACCTCCTGAGACAAGATCTTCTAGCTCTTCAATCATGGATACGTCCAGTGGTTCTAACAATGATAATGACGGTGCAATTTATCAAGCCTCGAACTTAAGTTACTTAACGCTCGCAAACTCGCAAAATGCGAGTAGAATTTTAGAAAGCTTCGGATTGATAGGGATTCAACGACTTGAAAAATACGAGCAAAACTTCGACGTTTCGATCGAAGGGCCTTTCGTCGGGAAGTTCGCTCGAAACGTCGATGTTTTTCTTGCATTTTCAGGTAGTTGAATTCCTCTCATGTTGTACAGTATCAACTTACCATGTTTTATGTCGTTGGAGAATATGATTTCATTTGCAACTTGTTTCAGTTCGTTTTCTAAGTAATATACTTCAATTAATGGAGAACAGAGGATATTGGGGATAATTCAGTAGGTTTGACATAAAAATTATAGCACTCGAGGGATTGTCAGTGGGAAGTCGGGAAGACCACGATTTTGGGGAGGGCAAAGACAGCGGAGGTTTCACAATTCCGCTTTTACATGGCATTAGAAGAGCTAAAAATTGCTTTGAATTTGTGTTGTGAAACAAATTGCGGGTGTATGTACTAAAACTTTTGATGAGACCATCGAGTTCAAAACTTAATTCAAGATTGAATTTTTGGGGCCATTTAACGGCCGTAAAAAGCCCTGAACACCGTCCTGCTTCTTCGCCTTTTAATGAAGCCCTTATCAAGCAAGAATAAGAGTTGATGAGAGTTGACAAGCGAGAGTTTGCATGAGCGTTTTCTCAACTCTTGTGCTTCAAACAAGAACAAGAGTTTCATGTGAGGTGACTAGAAGATATCACCGCGCGCAGCAAAAACCCTCATCAACTCTCATTAAAAACATTAAAAATTGAACCGGTTCAAAGTTGATAAGAGCGCATGAGATTCGATGAGAGTTTGCGATGAAACGCGAGCGAGAGTTACACTTTTATCTAGATAATCAATTTTTCAACAATCACGTCTTGACCAAAAATGAAAAACAAAATAATTATGCCAACCTGTACTGCTTGTTTCCATAGGAATATTTTTAATACTTTTTTCCAATTCCAAAGGTTTTTCAGCCACCATAGTGATTTTTTCTGTTACAAGTGGTATCTGCTGGCTTTCCTTCAGTAAAGTCGTATTGTGTGGCGTGGATGAGACGGGCATAGGTGGGGGGACGGGCGTCACCACCGGCCTATTGTTCGTTGGATCTTTGTTGACGAGGAGGACGTTAATTTCACCAGTGTGGCTTTTTAAATGAATTTGGTATCTTCTATCAATACCTTGTTTCTGTAGAGACAAGATGCAAGTGAGATGTTAGTGATGATAATAGTGATGTTAAATCTAATGATTCTGGTGTGATTTAACACCTATAACAGGGCGCGAAATAACGGCCGGTCAACGGACAATGTCCGGCCAGAATGCGGAGTTGTCCGGTCAAATTCTTACCTTGGTGGTCATTTCGGTAAAAGAACAAACTAAACTTAATTTGAATTAATCATTAAAATAAAGTTGTCAAGTATTATAATTAAGAACCATAACATGTTGTCGAATGTTTTGCAGGAAAAGAATGTACGCCAGCTTTCCCACGCCGTACGTCACAAAGCGCATGGCCATGCTTTTGGCTTAAGAGTTAAGGCCATGCATGCTTTTAGCGCAGTGCAAGCTGTTTTATGCGAAGGAGTTTTTAATTACTGACTACAGTAAGGCTTTTTGTAATGCTATACTGGGAAAATATAGTCACATTTTTAGGTTTAAGTATACTTTACCAGGCTTTGCTTTAAGCTGAATAATTTGACCGGCGAGAAATTCGACGACCATTCAGCTGTTATTTCGCGTCCTGTATCAGTTATTTAAGAGGATGCTGCTCTGGATTGCTCCACACCAGGAAAGATGAGCAATTGCTTGACCATGGTGGGAATTGAACCAGAAACCTTTGGTTTGCTAATCCAATGCTCTACCAAGTGAGCTACGAGGTCAAGTCAGAGTGGGTGATATTTCAGAACTCAGTCTAGTTCCTTCGATATCCGTGTTTTGTGATCTTAAATCTAAGACCATGTCATGTCATTGGACATTTTGCTTCAATATTTGCAGTGGTTTAGTTATCTGAATATAATCTTGGCTAACAAATTTTCTGAGGAATGAAGTGAGAGTTTCAGAGATATTTCTGGGGACATGGTGAGTGTGCTGACTTTTCTTTGTAGGGGAGGGTGGGAAGAGGGGTACACCCTGCCAAAATATCATCATGAAAATTTCAATAAGAAATAGTTAATAATGGGAGTGCACCATTTCACAAATGTCAAAAATGTCATGATAGCGTGCAAAATTTTTCTGGGGAGTTCCTTTTTCTTGTGGTTACACCCCCATATTATGACCACATCTTCATTAATATAATTTTACCTTTTCTGGTATAGGAACTTCTAACTCTGTTCCGGCAGGCGCTTGAATTGCCAGTAACGTGTCGTCACGGAAACATTGACAAAGATCCTCGTACGTAACAAACGCTAGTTTCTCGTTATCGAAATCTTCGGAAACGATCTTTAAACTTTGTTGAATCCATGACTTATGTTCGTCTAAAATTCTCTCCTTTTCATCAAGAGCTTCTAGTTCACTTTTTAAAACAACAAGACGATCTGAAATCTCTCGAGTGTTACAGCCAGGACCTGCACCTCTGTAGAGAAATAATATGGACATTTAGACTTTTTTATCCACATTGATATTCATGATTTTTCTGTTCAGAATTTGTTTAGGCCCATCTAATGATACAATTAGTCATGTACACAATTCTTATATTAACCCATTAAGCGTCAGCGTTCTCCCCTTGACGAGTAAAATCGTCTGGCGTTCGACAGAGTAAAATACTAAAGTAGGGTGCATCAGGGTGCAATACGACTCAATGGGTTAACTAGACACATGGGCAGATAGGCCAGTTAACCCATTACGCACCAGCGCTCTCCCCTTGACGAGTAAAATTGTCTGGCGTTCGACAGAGTAAAATACTAAAGTAGGGTGCATCAGGGTGCAATACGACTCAATGGGTTAACTAGACACATGGGCAGATAGGCCAGTTAACCCATTACGCACCAGCGCTCTCCCCTTGACGAGTAAAATTGTCTGGCGTTAGACACAGATTTCAAATTTTGTCATAAACTGATGCATGGCATCAACAGTCATTTTCATATGCCAGAGGCTGGTTGTGCAAAAATCAGATAGTGCTATTAATAATAATAAACTTTATTTAAAGAAGGTACAATACTACAATACTCAATAGAAACCAGTTTAGTAGAGCTAATCTTACACTGGGCTAATCTTGACTACGTATTACAAATAACAAGTTAACCCATCGAGCTGCAATGTGCTCCAGTGCACATACTTTATTTTTACTTGTCTAACGCCAGACAATTTTACTCGTCAATGGGGAAGCTCTGCAGCTTAATGGGTTAACCAAAAAATCTGACAATGTCTCTGGTTTACCCATTGAGCCGCAATGCGCCCCAGTGTGCCGTACTTCTTTTTACTTATCTAACGTCAGGTGATTTTACTCGTCAATGGGGAAGCTCTGCAGCTTAATGGGTTAAAATTGTACATTAAACTACTACATAAAAGTACTAGTAACTCATACTAGTCTACTCACCAGATAGTGATCTTTCTAAAGCTTTCCAAAATTGTATGTTGATTGGTATTTTACTTTACCAGATTAAACTTTAGTGTTTATAAATTATAAGATCCATATTGGTACTTTTATAGCTTTTGAGCCAGGCCTTAAAATATTGGTCGGTCACGGACATTGTCCGACCCATTCGTGAAATTGTCTGACGTAGAGAGGAAGCCACCGGACATTCTGTCTGACCTAAGTGAAACTGGGGTTTACTGTTTGTCCAACCCGAGTGTATTGGTGTCCGACCGAACTGTAGCTTTGTCCAACGTAAATCAATCAGCAGTAAGGCTCGTATGGAAAATCAGAGAACTATTGAGTATTGTATAAAAAGTGAACTGGAAATGTGGTTTTAACATAGCTAATCAAGCGTGTGGCAGTGACGTGCGAGCGAAATGGTGAAGTCAGGGTTTTTTTCCGGATTTTCTCTTGGGTCCGTTTTTGCAGAGAAGATTGAGTTTAGCTGAACAGCTGGGGTGGCTGCACCTACCGGGGGGCTGACACCTGTACTCAATAAATGTAGTTGAGACGGAATGTGTTAAAGCAGGGGCACTAAGGGACACTATAAATTGAGTGGTTAAAGATGGCGAATGCATGGTTTTTCTTGTGTTGTAAGATGAATTCCAGCCATTTTGTCTTGATTGTCGGGCTTCCAACTGAAAACTAATTTCCACACGTCACGAAATTTAACTCAAACAACTTCATTTTTACTGCACTAAAACTTTGGTGAGAAGATTGAGTTTCAAAACTCAATTCAAGATTGAGTTTAAAAAATCCCTGAAAAAAACCCTGGAAGTGAAAAACTGCTGTTCTTGCAAGCAAGTTAATTTTGGCTTGGAAATAAGTATGAATGACACAAATTGTTTAATATCTTCACAACATTTACCGTTCAGAATTAATACATTGTGCTGATATTCATTTGTGTCATTCACACTTATTTCCGAGTCAAAACTAAACTGAAGATCATCGGACATATGTCCGACCCAAACTCAACGTCATCGGACATTTTGTCAGATGGCCCTGTAAAAGATATTTTAAGGCCTGTTTTGAGCAGCATTAAAATGGTTGAAAAAATCATTATCCGGTGGATAGAGCTATCTGGCCTTTGTATAGCCCACTCCAGAATTATAATCATGTGCAGCTAGTTGAATTTATTAAATGGGCCTTTATTCAGACTTGTCCTTCCTTTTAGGAAAGGAAGAAGTCAATTTTATAATCGCCTTGTTGCTTTGAACTATTAAAATGAACAAGGGCAAAACTGAAATTTCAACATTGCTTTCAATTGGTGAAATTCCATTACTTTCTCAGGGCTATTGACATTCAGATTATGCACTGCAATTTCAACATTTTTCCTTATTGGTGTTGAAAATAGCCCATGATTACAAAACAATTCGGCAGGAAAGAGAACTAACTTTTTTTGTGTAAAACATATTGACTAGTCTGTGATGGCATAGGTGAGAGGGCTGGGTAACAAAATATTTTTTTCAGGGAGAATGTAAGTGCCCCTGGGCCTAGAGGCATATTTACACAATGTGATTTTTTCGTGTATGATTGATATTCTGGCATATGAAAATTAGTGCTGATGTCACAATTCCTCTTTGTTTAGTTTACAGCGAAATTTGAAATGTGACTATTTTATGCTTATTCGATTACATATGCTAGAATACACATCGTACATGACAAATTGCAGTGTGTAAACATACCTTAAAAACACTTCCTATAAACAATTCTGAGCAGACTCTAACCTGCCCCCAAATCTCTAAATATAACAGTTATTATTAAATAGCTATTTGGTCACTTTTGTGCCCTTGACTACATCTTGATGTACCCTCAAAAACTGTTTTGCAACCCTGTCCCTAGATTTACAGCTTTCGTGCCCCCAAGACCTTGTCTAAAACAGCTCATCTCTGCAATCTGGCATGTCAACAATGAAAATAAAATCAACCTGTCAGCATTCTTTTAACAATTGTTAAGGACTAGATTAGGCCACAAAACCTCCATTGATTCCCCCACCATCCCCCTGGGGCCCAATTGATGAATTTTGCTTGTTTATCAAATGTTTACAAAAAAATATTCCAACTGTCTTATATATTATTTTCAACTCACTTCCACTGAATGCTATTCTTGGATTTCTTTTCAATCAGCCCGATTCCCTCTAAAACATTTGTAATATCGTAAATCCGTCTCTTCTGACGCACTGCCAATGTATCAGCCGCCTATGAAAAGTTCCAAACAAAATATATTCGAATTTAGCAAACTGACAACGCGACTGAAGTCTAAGGAAAAGATTTACTGGAAACAAACAAACGCTTAAATAAAACAAACCATTTTTAAATCAAGGACACCATCCTTAGCTTCTTGTAAAAGATTTACAAATTTTGTCGTTAGCAAACCTAACGATTTTTCGTGCCGTCCGCTCGGCGTTCCTGGTGAACTGAATTCGGCCATTTTGGATTGGGATTTGGGAGTCGAAAACGAAGACTACCTAGAATGCTTCTTATTGGTCCATTTGCCACTTTTAAATATACCGCCCGTTAATATCGAAGACATTAATCTCTGCTGAGGGGGAGTACCCTTCAATAACATATTAAAAACCAATTTTATTTCAGAAGAAATTCTTATAACGAAACACAAACTGTTACCTATATATAAGAAACGTATTTAGACATTTCCAAAGCCTTATACTTAGCGAATTCTGTTATATTTTTACGTAGGAATTAAGTGGACAAATTGACCCACCCACCCTGCCATAACATCCTTCAAAAAGGCGCGAAAAATAGTATTGGTAATAAAGAAAAGGCGCGAAAAAGAGTTCGTCGATTGTGTGACAGCCCGAACAAAAAGCGGGAAAAGTAAACTGGTTGCTGAATTTCGGAAAATAAAATTACATTGTTTGATCAATATGTATTAGTAAAATATTTTGTCACCCACTAAAAACTGTTCTCTCTGAAGGCGAGGGACCGCGGGGGGGGGGGGGGGCGGGGGCATGCCCCCACTTTTTCGGTAGGCTGGATTTTATCCGGGTATAAAACTCAGAAGCACTTTTCTTTTACACGAATGAAGTGAAATTACAATCAAATACCTGACTGAAGATATATCGAACCCTGATTGAATCCCAGTCACAAAGGTTGAAAGAGTCCTAGGGGCGGGAATCTGTACTTCTATGCTCCCTTGGACTGCTATGAGTCAACAACGTTTATTCCAGGAAACGGGTATCAACCGCAAAATGTAGGGCTTTATGTCCTCTTGAAAGCCGTAACAATCGTTGATGGTTGCGCAGAGCGTAAATGCTTCTAAAGGCCATTTTCCATTGCAGTGACGCAGTCGCTTTGCCCGCACGGGTGGAGCGACCAAATTTAATCACGTGAAAAATCGTGAAAAATTAAATTCGTCGTTTGAAACGAAACCATTTTAATGTTGACCAATTGACGAATAAATTGTTGAATAAATGACAATGCTCGAAGCAACTCGTCTGGCGCAAAAATATTATTACATTAATTACAAATTTCGTATTAAAATTAATCTTTTACAACAAATATCAAATAAATAGTTTAAAATTACGATTAATTTAAAAGATGTATATCGTTCGTACAAAAAGTCCACACTTATCCCCCGCCATGTTCAAGTAATTACAATGTTTTTGTTTTCGTCTTTTTTCTAGAAAATGGGGACATGAAAAAATATAAATTTGAAGTGAAAACTAAACTATTGATAATTCAAGGTTTTTGTCGTCGTCATTGCTGTCGCTGTTGTCGTTGATGATGTTGATTTCTTTGCGGTTGTTGTTGTTTTTACTGCTGTTGTTATCGGTGTTACTGCTGCTACTGTTGTTGTTGTTGCATTGCTGCTGTTGTTGTTGTTGCTGCTGTTACTGATATTGTTGTTGTTGCTGTTGTTGTTGGTTTGTTAATATTATTGTTGCTGCTGCTTTTTTCGCTGTTGTTATTGCCGTTGCTGCTGTTTTCGTTGTCGTTGCTATTGTTGTTTTCGTTGTTGTTGCTGCTGTTGTTGACGTTGTTGTTGATGATGCTGTTTTCGTTGTTGTTGTTGGTGGTGGTGGTGTTGTTGTTATTGTTGCTGCAGCTGTTTTCGTTGCTGTTGTTGCTGGACGTCAAAGACGACGTGAAAATGGCGTGGCATATATATCCATACATGGGCACAACACACCATTTTCACGTCGTCTTTGACGTCCGCGTCCTCGATCTTTATCGTTTCTGCAGCTACTACTGTTTTCGTTGCTGTTATCGTTGTTGTTATCGTTGTTGTTATCGTTGTTGTTGTTGTTGTTGTTGTTGTTGTTGTTGTTGTTGTTGTTGTTGTTGTTGTTGTTGTTGTTGTTGTTGTTGTTGTTGTTGTTGTTGTTGTTGTTGTTGTTGTTGTTGTTGTTGTTTTCATTGCTTTGCTGTTTTCGTGGTTATTGCGGCTGCTGTTGCAGTTGAACAATTCCCCAATGGATACATCCAAACAAACAACAAAAACATACTTTGCCTTTCTTTGTTCAATCAAGGTCTGAAGTTG